GGGTAAAACTTAGGTACAAGAGCAAAAGGCAGCCTCATAAAGGAGTGGAGAAGGAGTAGACGCGACCGCTGGAACAGGAAATTTATGCGCCTGATTCTTCGGATGCATGTTCATTATAGATCAAATGAAGGCCACATTAAGTCGTTGGATTTGCAGACAATACGTGTCAGGCGTGGGCTTCACGCTGCGTCCAGGCTCTTGCCCAGCCGTCTTGATTCGGTCAGGTCATTAGCATACGGAGCGGGTGGGTTTTACCTAACTAGGAACCCGCGCTACGTTTCCGCTCTATAACCGCGTCAAATGTTTTTTTAAACCGCGACACTGCCCCGACAACTGTGGCTTGAAAAGTTGTCATCTGAAGAAGTAACTTGATTCCCCCACAGGCTAGACGCCAGACCGCATGTGTCTCATGTATCTTTTTTAGGAAGTCCTCATTTATGTGGCTTCCGAGAACCAGCATCATCCGCCGAAGCCTAGTACTTGTGTAACTGTGGCACCACTCGGTCGTTTAGCCCTATCAGGCCTATGTCCAGACCCTGCTATCGGAACGCAGTGGGTGTAGGAGGAGGGAGGTAGCCCGCCTAACTGTAAACGAATTCGCGCTCAAGTTGCCACTGGCCCCTCAATACCGTGCTTGATCCTCGACCTGCTCGACACGCCAACTGCTGAGTCGTTCCGCTTCCAGCCCCCGAACAATAGTTCACCCGCAAGCGTCTTCTTCTACGAGTTTTCGAACCGGTTCCCACGCTTCAGACTAAATAAACGCCTTTCAGCCCGTTTGCCGTGAAATAATATAACGGGGGAACAGCAACGGAAGTAGGTTTGTTTAAGCAGGCCACAGACCCTTCGTCCGAAGGACGTTAGGCGGTCGGCGCAGTTGTCGCTGGCTGCAACTATGACTTATCGGCACCACCCACCGACTGAGGGTTGGAGAAAGATGGAATCCCACCCCAGGTTCCCATACCCTTACAAAATCTTACTTCGCCTGTTGAGGTCACAATGACAGTCCCCTGGTGAGGATAGACGTCAAGCCGTTCGCTATAGTCTGCCCTCAGTAAGTATGGTCCTGGTGTCAAGATAAAGACAAGAGGATCGAAGATGGAGGAGGACGCAGGCCAGCACACCATAGACTATCACAACCAAGGAAATCGCAGCAAAGTTAGGGGTCTGCTCGGATCCCAGCGGAGTGGGAGTGCCACTGAGTTTAAATACGACCAATGCTACCAACAAGAGCAAGACAAACTGAAATGACCCTCAGTGTGTCATATATCACGTCCGCACAAACTAGGGTAAGAAATCTTCCGGACGTAATAGTCTCTGTGTGGAATCAAGTAAAACTTTGACTAAAACCTTTCAGTATGCTTTCAAATATACTAGACTCTCTAACTGAGATCACAAGATTTGCAAGCATGTAAAAAAGCGGTAAAACGAGTACTACATGGAGAAGTGCTGTTTTTCAGGTTATAACAATCACGTAGGCCCTGCTGATCTCACCATCTTTGCCGTCGCCTTTTAAACGTTAATTCATTATTTATTTCAGAAATAAACAATTTAATGGCAATTTTCGATAAATGGTGTCCCAATTAAATTTAGATTTGGAAAAAGATCATTGTTTTGCCATTTAGAATGCTAAGTGCAACACGACCTATACCCTCAAGTTTCTTTTAGACTGCAAAAGTACCCAGTATCTAGGTGCCCTGGGGGAAAACTGTCATTTATATTCATGCCATCGGCAACCTACTTCTAATGATTTCAAAATATAAAATTAAGGTGTTGGTTGTGAAAAAACGGCAAATCTAATGCTTACTACGTCATTGTTTGGAATTTCGTCCGGTAACTGTAGGCTTCCGATACAAGCATGCATCCACCCTAGCGCAGTCCGTACGCACAGTTCTGATCATGCAGTTCTGAGCTCCTACTTGGCAATTATCGTTTGAGCAGACCGCCTACAACTGATGGGTCGCTGAAGCATCTATGACACCGTTAATGCGGCCATATTCTGGAAGGCCAATACAGACAGTCCCCGGATCGTCTTTGATCAACAAAGAAACTACGACTGTCCGAGGACCAGGTCGATCTACATGAACTTATGATGAGCACTTGGAGAGTTGGATACCGCAAATTATCAGATCGACAAATAGCTGAGTGGAATATCTTTGGAGAATTTATAACTTGTCGCTGACACGCTGAAGCTCATCGACATCCAAGGACACTTGTGCGGTCCAACTGCGAAGTGTAAGAAGGGGGTCGAGATTCTGGTGTCATCAGTGCGGTCGGGACGAGAATTCCTCGAGCGCCAGTATTATAATGAAAAAACTGAGATCAGTCCACGTCAATTGTGCACATATGCGTGTACACACAACACCTATGCCTATGCAAGTGCCTGTTACCCGTGAGTAGGGCCTGCTCAAACAGGCGGGGGTTCGATCCTGCTGAACCCCGATGTCCGAACATGTACATTCACGTCGGGAGATGG